TAGCTTAATTGACAAATTATGGCAGTGAATAGTAAACAGATATAAAAGTGGATCATCTGCACAAAGTATCATCACACATTAATTTGCCATAATACTTTTTTTTTACATTTATCATCATAACTAATCATTAACAATTGTGAAAAATAATACATTCAATTATTTAAGATATCATAATCCAGAGGAATGGCCTGCGTTCGCGATTCTATCAGCTCAACTCATGAGTTTGCAGAATCGCTTCCCCAATTTTCTTTATTTTTGATTTCTCGTTCGGTTAATTTAAAAGCAGACTGTTTAATCCGTTCTGCACGTACAAGAAATTTTCATTTTTCATTTGTAAACAACATTCTGCCAAGTTGAATAGCCAATTGTGGTGGCATCTTTTAAATAAGGGTTAATTTGTTATCTAACCAACAAAAAATTATATTTGAAAATCTAACCAAAATCTCTAAATTCAAGGGGTGAGATTTAGCTACATAGGAGGTTTTGATTGGATTTGCAAATATAATTTTTTTTTGTATTATGCCGCCAATTTTTTCTTTAAATAATAATTTGGTTGACAAAAAAAAAGTTATTTAAGATAATTTTAATTTGTAATATACTAATTATCTTTGTGATATTTTACATGCACTTTCTATGTCATATTTAATTAAATATATTTTAATATTACTTTTAAATATTCGAGTTAGTCATGATATGACTTATATATGATATAAATCTAAGATGACAAAAAATAATCAATAAAAAAATTCAATAATCGATATTAAAAATTTTCATATTTAACATGATACATATGTTGTTCTTATCAAAATACGCAAATCAAAAGTATTTTTTACAAATGTGTTGTATTTAAATTTATTTTTATATAATGTATTTAAATATTATCACGTATATATTTATTTATTGTTTTATTTTTATTTATACAAAAATAAAATAACAATTTTAAATTTCATATAAATTATAATAAATATATACAGTGTTTTGAACCGCTTTTTATCTGCTTTCACCATTCAAACATATATTTTGAATCGCTAGATCCGCTTCATACGCATTTGTACTGCCTGATCCGCTTGATCCACATTTGTTCCGATTGAACTGCTTGATCCGTCCGATCCGCACCGCTCGATACGCTTTCTCCATTCGGACCCAATGTATATAATATTACATAAATTTGATGTTTATAGTAAATAATTATCTAGATTAAACACTTTTAACAAATTATTGAACATATACAATGTTATATGAACAAAAATAAATAGACCTTTCATAAAACTACAGCATATAGAAGACATTTTCTTTGGCATAAATCTCTAACTTGTATGTCTTCATCAATATTCACTACGATTCCCTAAAAAATGATATATTGTCTTTTTTATTGCATCAAACACATTTATAAAAAAAAATATTGATCACAGAAGTTGTAATATGATTTTGATTTACTTAAACATATGCATCATCTCAAGAAAGATGTTGAAATGTACCTTTGTGTTTATTTCAATGGAACTTTGAATCGTATTGAGAAAATAATTGATGTTTTATTGTATTTTTGTCTTAATCTTTTTATCGTTTTGCTATGATTTTTTTTATCTTTAACATCGATTAATTGATGAAGTGATTCTGTTTTTCTAGATTCACAATTTGAGGTGGATTAAAGTTTTTTCAAGAGTTTTGGATAGAAGTATTATGCCCACTACAAATTGTATTAATTTCATTAATGGGTAGTTAGAAAATTGGCTTTAGAAGGTGTGAAGACTAAAAAAATTAATTATGAATATTTTCAATCAGACTTTAACAATCTTAAAATCATATATTAATTTTTTCACAGCATTTTTTTTGTTTTTGTTCATGTTAGGCTTCTTTTTATCAAAACTTCTCTTTTGTGACTTTTTAGAAAACAAAATCACAATTACCTATGTAAAAATAAAAGTCTTAAACATTTTTTTGTATATTATATTGTTGGATTTAACAAATAAAATAACTATTTTTTAAATCCTTACAAATTCACAATAACACATTTAATATTGAAATTAGCCATTAAATTATTGGAATTAATGGTCAAGTTATTAACACAAAATTTTTATTTTTTCTTTTCAATAGATAATTCAAATGGCAAATGTCAAAAGAATGGGTGCCATATGGCAGCCTCTCATAACTTTGGTTTTGAAGAATCTTAAAATATTATATAAGATAGTAAGAAAAAGAAATACACACAAATGATAAGTAGATATAATTAAGTAGTATAAATGTTTTTTATTGTGCGGGACTTCACCATACAAAACCTAAGATTTGCCAAAACTAAGAACACTTATATTTGTTGAATTGTAGTTTTGTGAAACAATATCAGAATAGCTAGTGAGTCACACAATGTGTTCTAAAATATGAGGCTACCAAACAAACAAAAGAAATAAAAAGAATTTATGAAATGTGATGGATTATTGATTAAGACTGAAAATGGAGTTTTGAAAATGTAGGATATGGGAGGCTTACCTAGTGGTTCTTGTGGTATACACTGCTTGGGCTTCCCCTTTTGAATTTGGGTTCTTGAGAAAGCCAAGACCACCACTCTCTATCACCGATAACATCGTCAATGCATTCTTCGCTATGGATATCATAGTGACTTTCTTTGTGGGTTACCTCGACAAATCGACTTACCTACTTGTGGATGATCGTAAACTGATTGCATATAAGTACTTGCGTTCTTGGTTCCTCCTTGACCTCGTATCAACCATTCCTTCAGAGGTGGCTGTGAGAATCTCATCTCAGTCTTATGGCTTATTTAACATGCTTCGTCTCTGGCGTCTTCGCAGAGTCGGTGCCTTGTTTGCCAGGTGTGTTCAATTTATTTTTTTCTCTATTTGTGTAAGAACATCAAATGAGTTGACATTAATTCTCTTTTAACAGACTAGAGAAGGATCGCAACTTTAACTACTTCTGGGTCCGATGTGCAAAACTCGTTTGTGTAAGAACATCAAAACGTATAATAATGTTTCTTTATTTTAAACTACACTCTCAATGTATTAAATCGAAGGAGCATATATGTTGCAGGTCACCCTTTTTGCGGTTCATTGTGCTGCGTGTTTCTATTATCTTATCGCAGCACGCAATCATGACCCAGCAAAGACTTGGATTGGAGTATCGAACCATAACTTCCTAGAGGATAGCTTGTGGATGCGATATGTAACTTCCATGTATTGGTCTATCACTACTCTAACCACTGTTGGTTATGGTGATTTGCATCCAGTTAACACAAAGGAGATGATATTTGACATTTTCTATATGCTCTTCAACCTCGGATTAACAGCATACTTAATTGGTAACATGACCAATTTGGTAGTCCATGGAACAAGTCGGACTAGAAATTTTGTAAGTTTGCATCAATTAATCTACTATTCCACACATACTGTGAGATTATATATAGGACAATGACAAATCTGCTTATTTTTTTTCTGTTTTCCAGAGAGATACAATACAAGCGGCTTCGAATTTTGCTCGTAGAAACCATTTACCACCTCGTCTACAAGATCAAATGCTTGCACATTTATGTTTGAAGTATCGAACTGACTCTGAAGGGCTGCAGCAGCAAGAAACTCTTGATTCACTTCCGAAAGCCATTAGATCAAGTATATCACACTTCCTTTTCTATTCCCTCATGGATAAAGTCTACCTCTTTCGCGGAGTATCCAATGACTTGCTTTTCCAACTGGTAAGAAAGTTGATTATAAAGCATACTCTTGTTCCATGTGAAAGATCATTCATTCATATCATACTTTCGATCTTTAGGTCTCGGAAATGAAAGCAGAGTATTTTCCACCAAAAGAAGATGTGATCTTGCAGAACGAAGCGCCAACAGACTTCTACATCCTTGTGAACGGTACCGCGGTAATAAACTTTACATACAGTTTCCTTGAGTTGACATATAGTTGGAGTAAATGTGTCACCAAGTTAGTTCTAATACATCTCTGTTACGATGCAGGACTTGATGGTTCACAACAATGGAATCGAAACTGTAAGTCGCATCACAATATATGTTTCTTAATTTATGTTTAATCCTTATGTCTCCAAACTCGTTATCTTGGAGTTAAAGTATTCACAAGGAGTATTTATGGAGAATTTCAGGCTGTGCAAGAGGTTAAAGCTGGAAACATTGTAGGGGAGATAGGGGTGTTGTGCTACAGACCACAGCTGTTTACAGTGAGGACAAAACGTTTATGCCAACTATTGCGTATGAACCGAACAACTTTCTTGAATATTATTCAGGCTAATGTTGGTGATGGTGCCATAATCATGAATAATCTTCTTCAGGTGAGCAAAAAATATTAAAGAATTCAATTCAGATTGAAACATGATTTACTGGTTTTGATTTAGTTCTCTTTCTTTGGAGAGAACAGCATTTGAAAGAAATGAATGATCCGGTGATGGCGAATGTTCTACTAGAGACAGAAAACATGCTTGCAAGGGGCAAAATGGATCTTCCTCTCAATTTATGTTTTGCTGCAATAAGAGAAGACGATTTGCTTCTACATCAGCTGCTAAAGAGAGGACTCGATCCTAATGAATCGGATAACAATGGCAGAACCCCTCTGGTCAGTGAAGTTGACAAATTTTCTTTTATTTTTCTCTCATCCAATCTCTTAGAGAGAGTATATAACTTTGATTTCTTGATTTTCTTGTATGGAAACAGCATATAGCGGCATCAAAAGGAAGTCTGAATTGCGTACTTCTTTTGTTGGATTACCACGCGGACCCAAATTGCAGAGGTACTTGCTAAAAACGTTGTTCGATTCAGATACTCATTTCAGGTTGATATATTGAGCTTTTGGTTGTACCGAAAATGTAAATGTAGACGCGGAAGGTAATGTACCACTGTGGGAAGCAATGGTGGAAGGGCATGAGAAAGTGGTAAAGGTACTGTTGGAAAATGGCAGTACCATAGACGCAGGTGATGTGGGTCATTTTGCTTGCACGGCAGCTGAGCAAAACAATATGAAGCTCCTAAAAGAAATCGTTCGACTTGGTGGAGACATTACCTGTCCCAGAGCCACAGGAACCTCTGCACTCCATACTGCTGTATGCGAAGAGAACATTGAGATGGTGAAGTATCTTCTAGAGCAAGGTGCAGACGTTAACAAACAAGATATGCATGGTTGGACACCGAGGGATCTTGCTGAACAACAGGGGCATGATGATATTAAAGCCTTATTCCGAGAAAAAAAACACGAAAGAGCACATATCGAGTCAGGTTCTTCGGTCCCTATACTCAAAACCGGAATCCGATTCCTAGGAAGATTCACTAGTGAACCCAACATCCGTCCCCCATCAAGAGAGGTGTCTTTCAGGATACCGGAAACAAGGCCAAGACGGAAAACTAACAACTTTGACAACTCCTTGTTTGGGATATTAGCTAGTCAGAGTGTACAGAAGAACAAGCTAGCCACGGTAGATGAAGGTGGAACCGGAAACCCGGTGAGGGTAACGATTAGTTGCCCGGAGAAAGATGAGGTAGCAGAGAAGCTGGTGCTGCTTCCTGGGAGTTTCAAGGAGTTGCTAGAATTGGGTTCAAACAAGTTTGGTATTGTTGCTACCAAAGTTATGAGCAAAGACAACAATAATGCAGAGATTGATGGTGTAGATGTTATAAGAGATGGAGATCATCTTATCTTTGCATCTGATTCAAACCATCCATAGAAGACTTCCAACTTCTTTATTGGTTTTACTCACTGATTGAAAACTTTTGTTTTCACAACTTTGTCAAAAAAAATGCATAAGCCTCAATAAATATTGC